TATATATATATATATATATATATATATATATATATAGTACCAGTAGTTTGTCAAAAAATTCAGAAAAGAAAGAGAAGAAAAACAAGAAAGAGCAGAAGAGCGTTTTGTAGTATATTTGAGCTCTTTTAAGTAAATTTTAACGAATACATTTTCTTCATTTTCGTAATTTCATTGCATTTTTTGATACCATTATAATATTTAAAACTACTACTGTTTGGTGTAATACATGAATTGAAGTTCGCAGATTTGATATTCGAATATTCCTTTTTTTGATACCTCAACTAATCAGTGGACTTTCCTCTTCTGTTGCAGGTCCTTCACGTTCTTCGTTAGCATTTAAGTACTCCCAGAACTGCCTCTAGTATTATTGTAAACATTTGTTACTTGTTATGTTTGCATTTTGTACAGTGTTACTTGTTTTTTTATAATAAAAATATATTTTATTTTATAACAAAAACAAAACGCATTTATCTGAAAAGTACGATTTCCCAAATCAATCCTCAATCTAATATTTTTTTTCCTTTTCATTTCTTTTCACAACAGATGTTGCGAGATCCTCTAAAATATTTTTAATGGATTCGAGCATTTTAATGGCCGTTGCTATGACAACGATCTTAAAGTGTTATTTAGATGGTTGCTGAGGGGCTAAGTGCATATTTACCGACGTAAATAAGAAAAACATTTTAGGTTGATGGAGTCTGAAGAAGAAGCTTTAGTAGATTGACAAGCAAAGCAAGGGTAGCTTAAGTTTGCTGACACGTACGCAAGACGTTCGTACATGATATATAAAATAAGTGGAACTTAGCACACGACAGAAATCACTAGTAGAAGTCATGTTTCACGCAAGAGCAATGACAGAGAGTTACGAATATTCTGAATAAAATGTTCCCGCAACTTCGAATGCACACATGATGTGCCAGCGATTGTAGGTTCACCTACAACTACACTGCTGCATAGGATCACAACTACACAAGCTGCAGCTGTATTGCCATTCACCAAACTTCATTGTCCGTTGGCCTTTCTCAATGTAATTTAACTAATATCAATCTAAGTTCAAACACGAAGCAAATATATTGTTAGTGAAATCGCACAACTAAAATCAATCCGCAAATGTTACCTTCTCAGCTTTCGCACAGAACGTAACATTTTGTTCCTTACTTTAGAACCACCAATTAACTTGCTGAATTACCTTCTGCAAGGTTACGTCCAACGTCCAATATCCTGAAGCTGCTACTAATTGAGTTTTTAATCAGAATTTCGCATTAATATCCAGCTTTCATCCCGACGTCCGTACTCTCGCGACCTCTACCCAGTCTCAACAACCTTGCGTTCACCATAACCGACGCTTCTTTCCTTCAATTGTCCATTATCACGAGTGCATATAACTCGTACAAAATTTATATTTTCATTTAGTAACATAGTAATAACTTTCTATGACATTCGAAGCACAGGAAGAGGATTTGGGGACGGGCAATATCATTTCCTTCAAACTCAATATTTCCTTAACGATCAAACACTTTATTTAAACGTTGCTTCTTACTGCACAAAAGTTATTTCGCAGAACAGCATACCCCCATTACTGAAAAAAAACACAAAAGAAATAGTTAATAGGTACCTCTGATGATTATATAACCTTCATGTAATTAATTCATCTCTAGTACACATTGTGTACTCATTTAAATAAGTATAAGGACTGTAGGAATATTGTTACTTATTTGAAATGTCTATAGAAAAATAACCCCCATTAGAATTGTAAAAGCTCGGCAGAAAATATTCCATTCACTTCGTTATTTCTTATTGGAGTCTAATCATTAACTTGACTTCAGCAAGTTTAGCATTATCCTTCTTTTTATTTACATTCACTGAAACACGGTTTCATGGACAACCGTGACTTTCCCTTAGGGAATAACATGAGAGATTTTGCACATTTGTAACTTCTTGATCTTCACGCACTTTAAATTAGGTGATATTCATCGTGAGTATCTCATAACGCAAGAGGTCAAAAAGTGCTATTGCGCACCAGTAAGATACCTAAGGTTCTATAACAAAATAAAGTTATTAACAAGTTGTTGAAAAGAAAAAAACTCCATTGCAGATACGTGCCCGACCCGAAAGTTAGCCCAATCATGTGAACGAAACTCCCCAAACTCAAAATTGAATAGCATATAGCTGGCGTTTTTAATATGTTGATGAAATGAAGATTTGTTGTGGATAGTTTTCTCAAAAATATCAATGTTCATGCTAATTTCCAATGGAAGTTGCACAGCTTCTTCTTCAAATCCGCTAATAATACAAATATAAACATAACATTATATTATAAATTTGAAATTACAAAAAAACTATTAGTAAAGACTTCGGATTGATATCTCCATTCTTTTAAAAATAATTAACAAAAAATTAATTAAATCATGGCTGAAGACATTAAAACATCACCAAAAATTACTCTGAACCCGGTCAAAATGTTCGTAATGGCACAAAACTATATTCAGCTTTTTATTTAGTAACGATAGCTGAACAAATACGATTAATATCTCCACTTTTCGAAAATTATTTACAAAAACTTTGAATAATGAGGAAAAGGCTTTTAAACAATCTTAATTCTTCTAAAGGAAGAACTGTCAGTCTTTCATTTCCTAGTGTGTCAATATATATCGCACACTGTTCCTACAAGTACAAAAGAAAACTTTTATTAAGGGAGCTACACAGTTCGAGGGAGTATCTGCCTCTCTCGTGAACTGCTCTCTACAGGCGTTTCCTTTAACTAGTATATCAACGCGCCATGGGACGTGACCGATAAACAGGGCGTATTCAGAAGAAGGTAGATAAAACAGCTGGAGGACAATGAAATACCTCGACGTGGACTAGCGGTAGGTGGTGCGAAGGGGCAAAAATAAATCAACAGGTCTTTCCCTCTGATCCCTTCTCAAGCCAACCTATTTACTGCAATTTGTTGTACGTTTCATTTGACAAAGTGTATGCAATACATCACTTGATTTCCCCCTTCTGAAGAAACGTGCAGGAGCAACAAGTGAGCTACGAGATTCGTAGTGCTTTAGGTCAAGTTGATTCAAATGTGTCAAAACGATCTTTTTACCTCTACCTGGTTCCGCTTAGCGCGAGAAATATAACTCACCAACGGAATGCCCTTGGCGTAGCACTGGAAGACTCGCACCGCACCGCTACACTTGTCGTCCCCGTCCGCGTATTCTGCGAAAGTACCGACCGCTCACCAACACACAACACCCACACCATCACTATATATATATATATATATATA